GGTGCAGGTCTGTGTATATGGGGAGCTCACAGATTCCTTCGAAATAAGAACAGGTCAGGGCTGCGTCCTTTCCCCCACAATATTCAACTATGCGATAGACTGGATAATGGACACTGCTTGTCGGCACTCAAGAGGTGTCCGAATTAGTCCAGAGCATCATATCATAGATCTTGAATACGCTGCTGATGTAGTCCTTTTTGCTGACAATTATAACGAAATGCAAGTAATACTAAATAACGTGTCAGAAACTGCAGCAAGAATCGGACTCAGCATCAATGTAAATAAAACGAAAGACTTTTCGTCTTATGTGCAAGAAGCTGATAAAATGCCTTTTTTTGTAAATTCATTGCCGGTTGAGGAAGTGCCTGATTTCAAATACCTTGGGTCCACTCTAATACCAAATGGTCGGGCAAAAGATGATATTATAACTCGGATCACAGCAGCTAGAAATGCGTTTTTCCGGCAAATGGTTGACGAAACCTATATGAAATCGTCGTGAAATCACCATAAAAACGAAAGTTCGCATCTATATTGCCGTGATCAGTTCGATCTTACTATGTGGTTCTGAAATATGGCCAATGAGAGTGGAAGATATTAAGAAGTTATCTGCCTTTGACCACTCTTGTCTAAGGTATATTTTACGGGTTCGCAGAGTGGATAAAATCTCACAAGATCGCATCCACCTTCGTTCAAATACCACTTGCATAAATAATGTTATCACAGAGCGCCGCCTTCACTGGTTAGGGCACATTCTCCGTCGTCCACCACACGAGTTGACGCATATTTCGTTATTTGCTAAACCGTGTAACGGTTGACGTCAAAAGCGAGGTGGGCCAATCAAGACCTGGACTGATACGGTGAGAAAAGATTTTGTATAGGTGGACCAGCAATACATGGACTTAGACGATGGAAAAAGGAATGGCTTCCATTACTGTCGACGATGGCATCAGACCGCGCCGCTTGGAAGCGTCTTACCCTTGTAGCCGTTGGAGCCAGTCTAACCAGTAATGGTGAGAGCTGTTAGAAGAAGAAGAAGAGGAATATATGAGCCCCAGCCGCTTTTGGATTTAGAATCAAGAAAAATAGCAATAAATATAAATCTGGAAATGAGGCTGGAGAATAAGCCCAGGTAACAACATAAAGAAATTAGTTAGCAGGCAGAAATATAGTGGAGATTAAGGATAGGACCAGGCTAATAAGAAAATACAAGGGTAATTCCATCGTAAGTCCCAGATACTGCTAAGCAAAGGTAACTCTGGCTAAAAAGATGCAGCAGAGGCAATAATACTCTTCTTTACAAAAAACCATCCAAGGTGTACATTCAGGCAGATCCATTGAATCAGGGATCTACCACACTAGACAAGACTATGTAAAAATGCCCCAGAAACTATCCAATACACAGTGGCATAAAATGCAGGCATGAACATCGCATACTGAAGAGCACACAAGTAGCTGGCATTATCTACAGGAATATTTGCCCAATGGATTGGACCTTCTCATGACCAGACGGAAGGTTCCTCAGAAAGAAAATCGTGTAGAATAACAAAGCTAAGATGCTATGGGACTTGCCCATTCTGACAAACAAATAAACACTGACCAATTAAATAGATATCGTGGTAACAAGCAAGAACTTGAAACAAGCATTGGTTATAGATATATCAATACCGATTGACAAGAACACTGGAAGGAATACTGGAAAAAGAACTAGAGAAGACGTAGGAAGTGAAAATAAAAATGTGCCAGTGGTGATAGGAGCACTAAAGGCTATGACCGTTGAACTAGGGAAGCGACTTCAAGGAACAACCTCAGAGCCCAGAAGAGCTTAAGATACTTCGCAGAACCCTCGAACTCCCAGACCTCTGGCAGAGAACCCGAGGCTGAAGACGTCCCATACCACAGAGTGGCTGAGGAAGGAATTCTTTCAAAATATTTCAACTATCAGATGTGCGGGCCACTTCAAATGCGGCACATTTTCGAATTCGAACCCGCAATCTCCATCTATATTATCGATATTTCACAGTCAAATAACCTATTGATTTGAAGTTTACGATTCGATTTATTTGTTGACTATTTGATTAATTGATTTAATAAAAATATACCAAATATAATTATTTAATTTGAAATTTTAATAAAAATTATTTACAAAAAATTTTTGCAGCAAAAGCATGAAAATTGGGAAAAATTTAAATATATGCAATTTTTTCGAAAATAAAAAAATAAATTCCTTTTTTTGTGTTAAACAATAAAAAAATTACGAGAGAGTACGGAAAAGTGAGAGGCAAAAAAGATGAAAAGAAGTACATGTTTATATTTTAAGAAAAACACTGACAGGTCAGGGCACTGCTAAAAATTATGGCGATTTGAGAGGATTAGAGAAAAAACGGATGTCTATTGTTTCCTGGTTTCTCACGCTCTCTAATGTGTTTACATTAATATAAAAGGGTAAACATGGGAGTAAACAAGTGCCAATACCGCCTTCTCTCTCTCTTTTTTCATTTACATCATCTCTACTCTCTCATTTTGCCGTGCTGTCTCTTCCATCACGTATCCTTCTTCTCCCTCACCTTCCACGCTATTTTTACTTTTCTCCATCTGTCTCTCTTTCTCTCACTTAATAAATAAATTTTCAAAAGAGAGAGTGAGAGAGGATACAAAACAGAAAGAGAAATTTATTACTGCTATTCAACGAATAAAT